TAGGGATCCGCGCCCCGGCTTGCCCTCACTTGCAGGTCAGCGTGGGATGGCACGGCTGGTGTTGGGAATGGGGCTGGGCAAAGCGCCGGGAGCCACGCGATGACGATGGGCTATCATACTGTTTGTCAAGGTCTGGCGGAAAGAAAACAAGGTAATGGGGCATTTGCTGATTCAATTCGTTGAATTTGAACAAATCTTTTTAATCTTCCTCCCTGAAGGATTGGAAAGGTCAGAAAATAGGCAGAATGTGCACTTTCAGGTATTGAAATTAAACTTGTTAAGAAATCCATATTGATTTGCACTTCTCTGAAAAATATTGAAGCCTCCAGATTTAGCCTGGGTATTGATTTTCTCTTCCAGGGGAAAGACATCGGCATGGAGGAAAGATATTACACGTGGCAGTAAACACCTTCAATCACCGGCCGCCCGCTCTCCCTTCATAAACAAATGGCCCCGCTTCGCCCGGGGAGGCTGCAGACCGACCCCAGCACTGTGACACGAAGGTGCTCAGGCGGTTCTACAGCTGCAGCCGCCCAGGGGCCGTGGAGCTGCCAGCCCCCGGCCGGTGGTGCCCCCGCCGCCGCTCCCTCCCCTCTCCCCAAGCCGGAGTTTGACACTTTGCCCGGCTCGGCCGTGTGCCATTGTGGAACAATTTGATGATGAGCACTGTGGTCCCGGCCGTGTTTTGTCCGGTCACTCGGTCCCTTCTGTGCGTGGGACCACTGCTCTCTCCAGCTTCCCGAAGAGGAGGTGTGGAGAGGGAGGTGCTGGTCTCTTCTCCCTGGTATCCAGGAACAGCACGCGTGGGAATGGTTCAAAGCTGCGCCAGGGGAGGTTCAGACTGGACGTTAGGAAGCATTTCTTTACCGAGAGGGTGTTCAAACCCTGGAACAGGCTTCCTAGAGAGGTGGTCCATGCCCCAAGCCTGTCAGTGTTTAAGAGGCATTTGGACAATGCCCTTAATACCATGCTTTAACTTTTGGTCTGCCCTGGAGTGGTCAGGCAGTTGGACTAGATGATCATTGTAGGTCCCTTCCAACTGAAGTAGTCTGTTCTACTCTACTCTATTCTACTCTATTCTATTTTAACAGTTCTGTTCTGGAGCTCCTCACGCGGGTGCTGTACAGTTAGCCCAACACCAAAGGCACCACTGATGCAGCAGCTCTAGGGGTCTTCTCCCCGCTCATCTGACCAGCACCGGAGGTGCTTTACGCCGCCAGCCCTGCAGCGAGCCAGCTGCAGGACTGAGACGAGCCGCAGAGGTTGGAACCAAAGGGCAAAGGCACTGGAAGGAGCAGTGGCCAGTTACGCTGCCTCAGAAACAAACAATTTCAGGTCATAAATTTAGCCTCAAGTAAGAGCAAACTGTCTGCTGTCTGACTCTCCGGCACCCGCCTGTCTCGTGGCACCCAGCACGGCGCAGGGGAAGGTGACAGCCAGCACACATCCTGGGGCACCTCCTGCTTCTTTTCAATTGCTTAGGGGATAACTTGGTTCACTTCAGAAAATCAATCCTCTGTTTGAAACAAAGCAAAATCCTTTCCCAACTGATCTCCTGCCTCACTGGCCCTCAAGAAAAACACTGGCACCAGAAATTGTCCTGTAACGTGGCTCTAACGACACCTGAAGGCACCGAGTGTCCCACGTGTGCACACGACGCGGCACAGCAGCATCCCAGCCCCTGACAAATGGTTTCTCCGATTTGCTGCCACAATGGCAATAAATACATAATGATGGCAGCATTGATAATGATAACAACACTTCCAGTTATATTATCAACACTTGCCATGCTGCAGGAGTTAATTTATCCACAGCTGGTCAGGCATCTTCCTGGCAACTACCGCACTCTGAAGTCAGGAGCCAGCCCTGTCCCAGGGACGGGGACAGCCGACCGTCCTGGCAAGGAGGGCTCAAACCGCACCGGGCGCCGCGCTGCTCCGGGGCAAAGCCCACCACCGAGAAAGGAGCTTCCCGCACGGTCAGGGCTTTGCTGCTGCTGTTGTGGGGTTGGCTTTAATTAAGAAACGTACCCTGTTCACGCCCTTTGCTTTGCCTGATAGAGACAAACAGGGTTTCTCACCTGCAGCAGTCAGTGACTCAGCTGGAGCCCGCTTTCTGGAGATATCATTCTGAAAAAAAATACATCTTTCCTTTAAGCCACATAGCATGCACATGTATAAAATCTAGAGGTCAGTGATGCCTCTGCAGCTGGGCAGGGCTGTTACACCGCCACGGCAGCCGGGCTCCGGGCAGGGGCTGCTCAGCCCGGTGTCGGAGCAGCCAGAGCAAGGCTCCCGCCCTCAGCACCATAACCCCTCCTGGGGTCGGCACCGCTGCGGCTAACACCGTAGGCGCGGGGGGACGGTAAATGAAGGTCTCGGTGTGGCTTTCATGATCAGAGTCTCTAATGATCTGCTTAAAAGCGCTGCTCCACGTGCATCGATCCCGGCAGTCAGCTCACCAGAGTTTCCCCTCTGAGCATCCCTAATTCCCCTCGCCTGGTTGGGAACCGTCAGTCCCATGCCAGGTTCCCACTGCTCCCCTCCGGCGAAGTGCAGGGCAGGGGGGCTCTGGCTGAGCACGCAGACCGCCCTAGACAGATTGCCAGATTAATTATCAGTAGGGATTTAATTTCAGATCTTTGTCAAGGACAGTCAGAGCTCTGGGTTGCGTTAAATACATTAACAAAGCAAACCCTGCATTTGTTCAGATGCTGTTTTCGCAGGGCAAGCCCCTGGTGAAAGAGGCTGCGGGAGGGAGCTGGGCAGGAGCCCTGGCGAGACCGGCAGCCACATGCCAGGTAAGTTAAAATGCAGCTTATTCCATATTTTACATTGCCAGTCCTTTTACTACTTTGTTTTTAAATATTTCCCCAAGATCGGAGTGCTACACTTCCTTGACTGTTTTTAATACATGCAATCAGCAACTATGGCAATTGAGAGGCCTAATTAGCATCTGAATCGGTCTTCTCACACAAACCCCCTTTGCAATAGTAGCAAATAAACGGTAATGGAGATGAAGAACCCGCACACAGTCTGCAGCCCTGCGCAGCCGGGACCTGCCGAGGGGCAGACGGCCCTTGCTGGGACTGTTTGAGGGGCTCCTCCGGGAGGGATTTTGCCCCGGCAGAGCTCCCACGCCGGGTTTCCCACAGCAACCTGCCCGTTATTCCCGGGAAGGATTAGGACGTGCCCCGCGACTGGCCACACTCTGGCTTTGGGTGGGAGACCCAGGGCAAGGCTGCTCAAAGAAAGGCACACCAGGCACCAGATATTTCCCTTCTGCAGGGAGCATGAGTAAATGAGGGCTCCGCTGGCCCCAGATTACCTGTGGCTGCCTAATGAGCCCCCCCAGGGACTCCGTGGGAATCCATCACTTTTGTCAGAAAGTTAAATAAGTTTTCAATTAAGTGACATGTCAAATTGTAAGACCAGCTGCTTCGAAACCGCCTCCGTTTAGATGAGCTCTGCTCCAGCGAGAGAAGGCAGCTCAGCGTTTAGAGCCAAACCTCCGGCTGCGCACATACGCCTTGGCATTTAAAGACTGAACTCCTCCCTGCCAGCCCGCGCCGTCCCCTGGCTGTCACACCGCGCAGGCAGCTGGCACGTCCCCACCAAGCAGCTCGGAGGGGACAGGCATGCGCTGACACCCAGCAGGCAAACGCCGCAGAGCAAGCACAGCGGGGAGAGGTGCTCCCCGAGGTCTCGCAGTTGGCTCCGAACTCGGCATTTCCCTGGGAGAGGGGTCTCGCCGCAACTGCCCCGGGATGCCCCGCTGCCGGCCAACCCCGGGGAAGGGACATCACCCCACCGTGGCACCTTTTGGAGGAAATGGCTTTCTGAGCCCCTCTCCTGCAGCGCTCGCCCTGCCGGTGCCCAGGCTCGGGGGGCTGCACGTGCACACACACCTCGCCCCCCCCCCGCGGCATCCCGTGCACCCCACACCCCGTGCACCCTGCACCCCGCCCGCC